AACCAAAGTGAATCACAATCTGTGAATTGTTTACTGTTATAAAAAGCCAATGGAGGACATCTGTTGCACAGAACCGTGGCAGGTGTGGAAGTGCTCCCACAGATTTGGAGTTTTGTTAAAAATGATGCTTCTGAAATGTTAAAATACATCTAATGAATGCACAGCAAATCTAACAAATGCCAGAAAGGAATATGTGTGTTACTGTATCCTCTAGAAAGAGAGACCCTAAAACATCAGCAGAATTAAACTTGCATGCAAAATGTTGGTAAAAGAAACGTTAAAAATAAAAAAAAGTGGGATTTTTTAGAATTAGGGTTTTTTAATTTTTTTTATTTGCATCTCTTCAGTTCAACCCATGCGTATGCTTGGAAGATCGCTCCAAGTTTCATGAGCGCCCGCTCGTCAAACAAATGCAGGTGGCAGCTGCACCTCAAAGCAAACAGCTGAAATGCATTGTGGGGTACAGTGTTTAAAAAAAGCTGACAGGTCCAATCATTGTTATGAATCACAATGCTGCAGGTCATTTGTGGGTTATAAATGCAGCCGGGAGCCCACGACTGCTGCTACAGCGTGAACAAAATTAGCCAACACAATGGTGAAGGTAAGGCTCCTCGTTTTGTTTGGTGTCTTTTTTATTTTTTATGTTTCTGTAAATTACTTCACCGAACTCAGAAAAGTGGAGGCAGATCTTTGCCATTTGTGCCTAACTTGATCCGACGCTTCCTGCATTCCTGACAGATCATTTTCTACGAGGACAGAAACTTTCAGGGCCGCTCCTATGAGTGCAGCAGCGAGTGCTCGGACCTGCACTCCCACTTCAGCCGCTGCAACTCCATCAGGGTGGACAGTGGAGCTTGGATGGTCTACGAGAAAAACAACTACATGGGCTACCAGTACTTTCTGACAAAGGGCGACTATCCAGACTACCAGCGCTGGATGGGATTCAATGACTGCGTTCGATCCTGCCGCGTGATTACCATGGTAAGACCCCCTCCAGGTACAATCCCAATTTCACAGCAGAAGCAACTGATAAGTGCAATCTATCCTGCAGCACCAAGGATCTCATAAGATGATGATCTACGAGCGCCCAGACTTTGGACGGACGATGATGGAGCTGACTGATGACTGCCCCTCTCTCTACGAACGCTTCCATTTTAAGGACGTGCACTCCTGCAACGCGACGGACGGCCACTGGCTCTTCTACGAGCATCCTCACTACCGGGGGCGCCAGTACCTGCTGCTCCAGGGTCAGTACAGGAGGTTTCATGAGTGGGGAAGCTTGAGCCCCAGGGTGGGATCAATCAGACGTATCACAATGTGAAAATGCGCAGTGTTGTGTATGCAAGATACTACAAATAAAGTCAATTAAACCATTCGAATGCTTTCTGATTACTTGAAGAGACTCCCCAAGGATGACATTTGGCTACAATGACCTTTACACACAGTTTAAGCCAAGCATGTTTATTAGGAACAGATGGAAGAACAAGGATCTTAGTTAAAGTCGGTGATTCGCCTGAGAGAGCCGATCCTTGGGCTGGCGCCACCCCAGTCGCTGTACCTGCGGTACTCGCCGGGTCTCAGGTAGTAGGTCCTCCCCCTGTAGTTGGGTTGGTCATACAGCAGCCAGTGGCCGTCAACCACGTTGCACGAGTTAATGTCGGACATCCGTAGACGGTCCTGGACATTGGGGCAGTCGTCGCTGATCTCCTGCATCTGGCCGCCCATGTCCGGACGCTCGTACAGCCTGATCTTGTAGGAGCCACGGTGCTGCAACGGGAGCATTTATGAGTCTTTTGCAGGTTACAGGGGTGGATCTTAAGCCTTTTTTCCACTTATTTCTTACCGTGGGGATCATGCGGCAAGAGCGGATGCAGTCATTGATGCCAATCAGGCGCTGGTTGTCGGAGTACTCCCCCCTGCGCAGGAAGTACTGGTGGCCCAGGTAGTGGGGCCTGTCGTACACCATGAAGCAGCCACTCTCCACTCGGATGGAGTTGCACCGGTTGAAGTAAGGGTGCAGGTCGGCACAGTCGCTCATGCACTCATGATGGCGACCCTGGAAATTCCTGTCCTCGTAGAATATGATCTGCAAAAGTCATATTTCTCTAAATATACATAAATAAACCAAAGAAAGATTTTCTTTTTTTTTTTAGCAGCATGTAATAAACTTACCTTTCCCATTGCTGTATTAGTGGAGGCCAGACTGATGCTCAATAGATGTTCTCTGCGCCGTTGTCCTTTTATATAAAGTAGCCGTGTGATGGCACAGCATAAAGTATTGTCATCCAAATCGGTTTTTACAACACAAATCTGGTTATGTATAGCGATGAACGGCAGCACGATGATGGCTTATTGTTGTTCACTTTCCACATGTTCATCACTATTGATAGACGGTTATCCGAAGGCCACCACTCCCAGTATCAGCAGAATAAAAAACAGCAGAGTGATTTACATTCTTGTTTTTCCTGTAGCTTCACACTTGCACAGATCCTAAAATCCATATAAAGAACAACAAATATCAGGTTTTGGTCTTTTTGGGAAGATGAATTGTTCTAATTAGGTTAAGGATACTTTTTATATGACAACTTTACTGTTCATTGCCTTTTAAAAAAAAGTGATTTTAGTTTGTGGAAAGTTTAACCCTGCTGATTGTTGACCAACTCCAATTAATCCTTGTTAATAAGAGATGCATAATGACTCTGACATCACAGTGTCTCTCTGGATGAAAACAAAAATGTTTAGAAAGCAGATTAAAGAAGGATTGAAATCGCATTTGGCAAACGTAAAATGACGTCCAACATTTGGATTAGCATGTTTGGGTTTCTGTTGCAGACACTTGGCGCAACACTAGTTAAGTGTTAACGACCCATTTCTGAATTTCTTTAGATTTTTGTGTGGCAAGTTAGAGCAGATGCTCCCATGTACAGATGTTATAGTCCTTGACACAATTACATGGACATAAGTAAATATTCTGAACAGCTGACTGGAATAAAATGTCTCCATTGTAAAGGCCCTAACCAGAATATTTTGATCGGATTCAGCTTGATTGGAATGAAACTGTAATCTGAATGACAAGGATGGTTCATGCCGATTGACAGGCAAGAAAACACTTGTTCTAGTCATGTGATGATTGTGGGTATGATTGTAGCCTATGCGGCACTTTTCCACCTTCAGCGGCCAGGTGATATGGTGGGAAGCAAACCTGGTGTGTTGAAGATGCAGCCTTTTTATTAGAAACACTAAGAGAGCTGAAAACGTGTCAACCGAAATGTTTAGTAAGTAATGTTTTTGTACAAAGCAGCATAAAAGATTCCCAGAAAAACCCCAGCTGTTTTATAAACCTCCATCTAATGTCACGAGACTGGGTCTTTTTGTTATTGTAATTTGCAGGCAGGAGGTGTTTTTGCCATGGTGCCATGGTCTTTTATCCATTCATTCAGATAAAACCCTGATTCATCAGGGCCGGCGGCCCTACTGGCAGATTACCGACCCCGCTATCACACACTCAAACACCTCCACTCCAATGGTTGGAGCTCTTCGTTTCAATCGGTCCGAGTATTCAGTCGAGATCACCAAGTCACAGAACACGCCTGGACTTCGTGGAACATAAAGCAAAAATGTTTATTTGCATTGAAAACTACAAACGCATTGAACCACAACAATGTTACAACAACTTGTCTGATAATATAGGGCATTACAAAGCAAAGTACGTAGATCTCAAATATACGCTGTACATCACCTTTACAATATTAAAACTATATATTTATCAACTGGATTGTTGTTTAGGAGGTTTACAATGTGCTTTGTGACTAAATAGAAAACATTGGGTTTCACCCATAAAGCATATAGGAAAGTACAATAAGATACAAAGCAATGCAATGAAAGCAATTGGCACACACTAGTCCCAGTACCCACTAATCACACCTGAAGTGGATTTAAAGTTAAATTCTCTCAATACAGGAATTGTTTTTTTGGTTGAGTCCTCTGAGAAGAAGCGACTTTTTACAGCATTTTGAACTTCAAAATAAGGGGAAAAAAAATAATAAATTATAATATATATATATATATATATATATATATATATATATATATATATATATATATATATATATATATTTTATTTATTTATTTTTTTTTTTAAAGTCCGAAAGTAAAAAAAAAAAAAAAAAAAACACTACCAGGGGAAAAACAAGGCACATTTACAAAAGCACCTCCTCCGTCTTTAACAATGCTAAAACTATCGTGACAAAGAAATGAAGCTTCAATCAGTTTCTAAAACGACCCGTCTGCATGCTGAGCTCCGATCCGCTCCAAACATGGAATTTCTTATTTCTCTTTTTAAAATGTGTCAGCCGGGATTTCTTCACAGGACAAATCCAGGTGGCTCCACACGTGACAAACCAGAACCTGCACCAAGCTGCTCAGTGGAAAAGCACTGATCAGTTCCTGTGTGCTGCAAAGTGGTTCTCGGCACAATTCGTCCACTGAAACGTTAAAAGCACACAATGCGGGAGCAACTGTAGTGCTTTTGTGGACAAACTGTGCAACGACAACCTGCTAAATATCTACTTCAACATGCATCAGTCGGCCATGGTGCAAAATAAGCCCGTTGCCTTTATGACTGGACTCAATAATCGACATCTGTCAAAGGGGAAAGTGCAATAAAAGCCAGGCAGACGGACGTAGTGCCTTCAACAGGGTTCCTACATGTTCTAGGACGACTTTCTATCATTTTCAAGGCTCTAGTAGAGTTATCAGTACATGATGGATGGATGTGTGGTCAGACTGATACATGGATAGATAATTGAACAAACTAACAGGTGGATGGATAAATGAACAGGCTAACAAATGGTTGAAGGAACGCACAACAGATATTGTTTTGGACAAACTGATGGGAGAAATTGGATAATGGATGAATGAATCTATCACTTCTTTGTCCCTCTTTATTTTAAAGCAATCAGACAAACCAAAGTGGTTGATTGGAGCAAATTTTTTTTTTTTTTCAGAAATCCAAATATTTATAATGCAGCAATTGGGACTGGTAGTTCTAGTTCTGGAAAACAGTTCCATCAAATTCTTTGTAAGACTATGTAGGAACCCTGCTTAAAGAACCAGTAGGTGAGGCAGTCCCTGAAAGGGTCAAAGCTGACAAAACGCCCTAATATTACAGCTCCGAGACCCTCAAACACAACCACTACACGGCAAAACAGCAACGGTGAAGCATTTAGCCTCTATATTCAGGCGCAGATCCAAGAGAAAAAACTTTAACTGTGGATTTTAACATAGATGTTTCCGCTCTGATGCGAAACAGAAAGGCACCATGATGACACACTGCCGCAGCAGCTTTTTTCACATAAAATATCATTAGATCCGTCCTCCAGTAACATGAATTGTGTAAATGTGACATCGAAGATAGCTGAGCTGTTTGCAAAAATCGTTAGAGAACCCATTTTGAGACCCCAGCAGGTTCTCAAAGCTGTGAACTATGTCCTTCAGCGCAAAGATGTTAAAATTGTAATCCTAATGCGTAAATTAAAAGCAAGTGTCGCAGAGTTTCACTGCGTTGCTGTGGAGCAGATATGACCGTGTGCTAATTCATGGAGAAGTAGTAGGAACTGTCGGCGGAGAGTGTGGCATGTTCTGCTTGCGGATACATTGGCCTGTTAGCCTACACGAGGGGCGTGGAAGGGAAACGCGGCGGCGTCCGGCGACTCTGTGGGCTCGGGCAGATGGTAGTAGTCCTTGGGGTGCGTGTAGCGGCGGTGCCTCGGCTTCAGATGGACACGCGAACGGGGGAACAGCTGACTCTATGGAGGGACAAGAAAGCAGAAAATGCCTCAGTAAGACAAACGCCACCAAGCTCCTGGGTGGACAGACGCTAAATCCACCAACTGTAAGGTGAGATTTGATTCTGTTTATACCAACAGAATGATTGATTTACTGGTACCCTTGGTAAAAGGCGACAATAAATTCATCTTCTACTGCAGGTACTTTATGTCACACCTAAACACTGATCAAAATCCAACTAGGGCTGCAAATTATTAGGGGAAGATAAAACTATGTTACTACAGGAGTTTTTGGGTAGAAGATATTTACAAAAAATGTATGTTTTTTGTACAGTTTTGACTTAATGACTGCTCTAATTATGTAGTTTTTTCAGCAAATAGCCTTTTCTGAGTCTGTAAACTCCTGTTAACAATTAATCGATTACTAAATTAGTTGGCGATCATTTCAATGATCGATTCATCACAATTAATTCGATTCATAGTCTCAGTTCGAAATCCAACCAGTGGGGAGAATTTTACCTCTCTGGGGTCATGCTGCAGAGCAATCGGTGTCATTCCTGAGTAAAAATGTGGCGCCGTCGACTCTAAAAACTGCAAACAAGAGACACATATTTATTATATAATCTGAATCTACATTAACTGATTGTAATCTTGTCATTTCTTCGTGAATCTTAGGTACCTCTGGGGTATTGCCTTCCATGGCGGGCCCAGGAGGCAGGTAGGAGCTTCCATCCAGGGCCTGGTAGGGATATTCTGGCTGCTGTGAGTACATCGCTGCGCTGAAAGGGGTTGGCACCTGGACACAAACACCACAGGGTTGATAAGTGGGGGAATTTACCTAAACAGCCGAGCGATGATTTGTTTCACAAACCTGAGCGATGTTCCATTGATACTGGTTTGCGATGTCCTGTGAAAAGACAGACAATATAAAATAGCTGCTATCTTGACGAATTCATTGACTCTGAAGGTAAAAGTGCTCTTGCTACCTGGTAGTGAGGATACACAGGTGGCTGCTGGGGGTGAACAGGCTGATGGGACTGAGGAATCATCAGCTGAGGGTGAGGCTGCAAGAAACCAGTTCCCATGAACTTCTCCACACTTTACGCTGCATTCAGCGGGATTTCAGGTGAAATGGTCGGATCCTTACCGACCAGTGGTGAGCCAAAGGGTTCATGCTTGGGCAGTGAAAGTAGGCCACGCCCTTGTGGTAGGTGTACGGATGTCCTGTGGATGTGGTCAGATAAAACGTCCCGCAGGACATCTGAGGGTCAAGGTTGGCCATGCGGGTGTTCTTAGCTGAGAAAAAAAACACAACAACGACGAAAAAAGAAAGAAAGAAAAAAAGAAAAAGAAAAAAAATCCATCTAAACGGAAAGTTTGAAAAGAAAACCAGCTGGCTGAAATTCAGCTTACCTTTTCCTGAAGAGTGGTTCTTTTTAACGGCCTGGCCAATGCAGAGCTTCTTCTCCTTAAAGGAGATTTCAGTCGCCTTTTGATTTAAGACAACGAGGTTAAACCCGGATGGATGAGACGGATGCAGATGCGTCATGGCACTTACATTACTGAGGATTCTCAACACGTCGTCTTGGTTTTCAAACGTAACAAACCCGTATCTGTTCAAACAAACAAGAGATTTATAAGGCATGCTTAAAACAGTAGGGAGTAGAAAGGAAAAGGGAAGAAAGGACAGAAGTAACCTTTTTGAGATTCCTGAGCGGTCTATTATTATCTTCACGTCTTTCACTGCGCCGTATTGCGAGAAGATCTGATGCAGGTCGCCTTCGTTGACCTCAAAACAAACAGGTACATTTATTTTAACAGGACTGGACTGATCTCCGCCTCACAGCGGTGCGCTTCTAAAGAAATCTCACCCTGTGGTCGATTCCCCCAACGAAAATCCGGTTGGGAATGATGGTGCCAGGAATTGGGGGGTGGTGGGTAAGGCTCTCCAGAGGGTTCTCTTGATTTAAGACATCAGAAGATGAAGAGCTGCTGTCATTAAGCGACGAAGGGCAGGATGTGAGCTTTAAGAAGCAAAGCAATGTTAGAGAAGCAACAGAATTCCAAAGTGCATCATCATGCATAGGCTTGTCGCAATAAACGATAAATCAATTAATCACACGATAAATTAAACCTATCGACCTCATTTTAATTATCGGCTTTATCGTCTCTTCCTGCCTTTTTTTTCCCTCTCTGTTGATGACACTGAATGAAAAAAGGCTCAACTCCGGTGCTCTTCCTTAGTGTAATGTCCAGCACACACTACACGAGTTGTTGGCGGACTGTCGGCCCATTTTCAAAGCCTGACAGAAATCCTAGGTACAAGGGTTCGATTGGGTTCGTCATGCCGTGTGGTGTCCAGCCACAAGGGCACAAAATAATGGCTACAAGTCCAGTTAACGAAATTTAAAGCCAGGCATTAATCAATGCTTTACTAGAATCTACCTGCAATGCATGTGGCTAGAGTCAGCGTAAAGTCCTGACTGAATGAAAATCATTATAACCTATTTATGTCACGTTAACGAAGAACAGCTGAAAAGTTACCGGGTTCTTCAACTGCGGTAGCAATTTGGCTCCAACTCCTCTCCTTGTCATTTCTATATTCTTTGCACGAAACGTTGAATAAATATTAATGTTGTCCTAAGGGGAAAATAGGGGCAAATAAATCGTGTAGTATGAACTACTGCATTAGGTAGTCGGATGTGCCCATCTTCTCTATTTAAATCTAGTGATTACTGAAGGGCAATATAGTATACAGATTTCATATCTGCACTCTTTTGGTTGAATGCAGTATTTATTTCCACTTTGGCTTTATGTTGTTTACTTTTTATTCAAGTACGTTTTTTGTTAATGGAGACTGAGAATCCTTTTTATTCTTGGTTGTTTTGTTTATTTAGTTTATTAGTTCCAGTGTTATGTGTTCTTTTGAAAATAAAGTGTGTATCTATGGCAGGAAATAGCATGCATTATTACGTCATTTCCATTAAATCAGTGTCACAAGGTCTCAAAACAATATTATCGTGTATTGCAAACATTTTTTAGACAGTTAATCGCTCGGCAAAATTTGTTATCGTGACAGGCCTACTTAGAACAGCATTTTTAAATAAACTTTTTACACTAAGATGAAAATATCAACAGCTTTCATCATATTCAGCTTTTGATGCAGGGTAAACAACACTGAAGTTAACATCTGATTTGAAGCTGGGGTTTTAATTTAGGCTGATTTCACAATTTTTAGACACAAATATAAATTAATCCATTACTAGTAGTGTCATTAGTTATTAAAAGCCATTGTGGAAAGTCCAAAGACCCACATGCGGCTCCGGGGCCAGAGGTTGGAGACCCCTGTTCTATTTCTATTAACAATTATTTAAAAGACAGTTGGTTGCTTGTAAATGTTTTATTACTTTAATAAAAACACAAATGTTTATTTGAATTTTTTAAACATATAAAAGGTTTTCTGGCATTAAGATTGTAGCTTTGTGGATGGTTTTGGGGGAATTATGTGCATCTTAATAGTGTTTTTAAACCATTTCAATGCGTTCGGGGAGCTTTGAAGCCACCTGAATTGAGGCCATGCTTGACAAACCACAATACTTAGACATGTCAGACATATATTGAATTATTGGGGCCTGCCCATAGCATTACATAGGGAAATAGGTGCCTGCCATATACATGGCAGGCATGTATTACATGGTGCCTGCCATGTAATACATGGCAGGCACCTATTGATCTACACCTAATAGAACTTTTCTTTCTTTGTTTATTTATTTTTATTCCGTCACCGTGAATGCGGCTTGTACTGCTGCGTGCATCCCCACAAACATGCAGCTCGATCTCAAGAAGGGAGCTAATACTTTTATTGGGATTCAGAGTTACCATGGCGATGTAATTCGTGTAGGGTGTACAACTCGTGTAGTGTGCGCTGGACATTAGACTAAGGAAATGAGGAAGGGAGGGTCAGTGGAGAGCACCGGAGTTGAGCCCTTTTTCATTCAGTGTCATCAACAGAAAGAAAAAAGGCAGGAAGAGACGATAAAGCCGATAATTAAAATGAGGTCAATAGGTTTAATTTATTGTGTGATTAATTGATTTATCGTTTATCGCGACAGGCCTACTCATACGCTTCAAACAGTTTTCTAATACGTATCACGGTTCCCGAACGGGAAGGAGTTGTTCGGACTGCTTTTTGGAGTGAAACTTGTTGGCTCAAACAGATGGAATTATGTCTCCCCCTGTGTGTCTCTCTCACAGCTGACAGTTGGCAGAGAGGATTAATTACCATAGCAACAGAACACAGGTCATAGCTGCTGATTCAGATTAGTTCTAACTATGGTGAACACCCAGTTAAAACAGAGGGCTAGATTTAACCCAACCACTGTTACACATTGAATCAGTGTGACCATTTAAAATGAAGCTTAATAAAAATGTCAAAATAAAAGCCTTGACCATTTTTACATCATGCAATTGCTCTATTGGTCATTATATAACTGATGTTACCAAACCATTGTTACACACTGGATTAGTGTGGCCATTTAAAGTGTCGCTTCCTGAAAATTTCAAAATAAAAGCCTTGACCATTTTTACATCAAGCAAATGGTCTTTTGGGATTTACATGACTGTTTTAACCAAACTACTGTTTCACATTGAATTAGTGTGGTCATTTAAAATGAAGCTTACTGGAATATTCTTCCCACGTTAGTGCACCGCCATAGGCAGTCCAATAATATTAGCTTTTTTTTTTATGTTTGTTTTCCTTTTTGTGCTAATTAACATTAGCACAAATATTAGCATTTCACTGCCCTTGACTAGTGCATTAGCATTAGCCTTTTACCTAAAATAACCAATTTGTTAATTTTCTTACTTATTTGCCATGTTTAGTATACTGAATGGAGTAAGTCAATGACAGACAACATGCTAGTGATGCTCC